TATGACTTAAATGCATATATTGTCTATATGCATAAAAAAAGTCTCTACGGATAGTATGCAATTAGACAGTACCGACTGTATGTTGCGCAGCATTTTATTTATTAAATTATATATTTACTGATAGATATTTCCATTTCTGGTTCTATGTTGCACAAATATTTTATTTATTAAATAGATTTTTTATATATTTTTAACAATATTGAATATTATATAATTTTCTATTAAATAATTAATTTAAATAATCTCAATAACAAACTTTAAGTATTAAATAAGTACGAATAAAAAGAAGGGATAACATTTCAAAATTTTATAGAAAACTGATCAAAAATTTTTTTTCGAATAATTATACAACTTCATTGTTAGTGCTTTCAGAATCAGACCTTTCTACATCGCCATTTTCATTGTTAGCACTTTCAATATCAACACTTTCCACATCACCCTTTTCAATGATAGCATTTCTAGTTTCAGGTTCCTCATCAAACCGATAAGCACGTTCACCCATTTCAATTATGTCTGTTCCATCTTCTCCATCTAACCGTAAAGAAAGTCCTGGAATTATATTCATAATATAAAGTATGATTAAAGTAACCAAAAAAGAGTACATCATTCCTGAGCAACTTCCTGATAATTGTATTAATATTTGAATAAAGTTGCCATTGACAGCACCACCATTTATGTTGTCACCATTAAGAGAGACAATATTTTGATCTGCAAAAACACCTGTAAGAATATTTCCAATAAATCCACCAATACCATGAATAGCAAAAACGTCCATAGCATCATCATATTTACCAAGTAATCTCTTCATTGCAACAGCAAGATTACAAAGAACTCCACTAACTATACCAAATACAGCAGCAGCGTAAGGAGCAACGTAACCGGATGCCGGGGTTATGGCAACTAATCCTGCAACAGCTCCGCTACAAAAGCTGACAGCACGTAATTTATTATATTTAAAATAATCTAAGAACATCCAAGCAAGTCCACTAAATGAAGCGGCAAGATTTGTTACAATACAAGCCATAATAGCACGCTTATTGGCTGCTACGGCAGAACCACCGTTAAAGCCGAACCATCCGAACCATAACAATACGGTACCAAGAATTACATTAACAATGTTATGAGGACTAGAAGGTCTATTGCGCCTTCCAACGACAATACAAAAAGCGAGAGCAGCAGCTCCAGATGATATATGTACTGGAATACCACCTGCGTAATCAAGACCGCCTAAAGTTGCAAACCAACCATTTTTAGACCAACACCATGCGGCTATGACGTCGTAAACAAGTGTAGACCAAATGAAGATGAATATAACAGTTGGTAATAGCCTTACACGTTCAGCAACCGCACCAATAATTAATGCTGGAGTAATAACCGCAAACATACATTCAAAAATTGCAAATAAAACTTCCGGAACTTGTTTACTTGCATTGGTTGGACCAGAATCCCATTGAAGATTCATAAAAAAGACATTCTGTAGATTACCAATAAAAGGTCCACCAGTTCTGCTAAATGCTAGACTATAGCCCCATATAAACCACTAGTAATAATATGTTTAAAAAATAAGAATAATTTAAGACATAATTTATATTAAAAGAATACAATTAAAAGTAGTAAATAATTAATAGGTAACCTGTACGGATACAATCGGAATAGCTAAAAAACATAACATGATTAAAGACAATGCATGCTTTTTTCGAGCCAAACCGCTATATAATAAACCTACACCCGGAGTCATTATCCAAACGAGACATGTAGCTGCCAAAACCCAAGCCACGTGACCAGACTCGGTGGAAGAGGAAACGTCCGTTGTAGACATTGCGATCAACCAACGTACTTTTGATATATTATAGGAAAGTCCTTGAATACGAAGGTGAATTAGACGAGTATGTCATATTTGGAGCGTTTATATGTGAGATGAAAGCATGTGTCGTCACAAAATATTCTTGCCAAATTAAAATATCAATTATATAATTCGGAAGCTGATGACCGAAAATAAAGTTCTTGTACGTACGTACTGTACGTAAAGTATAACAAACTAGAAAAAGTCATTTAGAAATTTTAAAGTATTACATACAAAAGTCAAGAAACATTCACCATTTTTATGATATGATAAGGCTGTACTATATAAAGTATGTGCTAGATGTGTACCATATCCATGACACATGACTACACATTTCAAATTAAATTTCAAAAATTTTATGTAAATATTTATGGCAAATAAACAATGTCTCCTTATGTATTATACATATTAGTTAATATGATAATGAGATTGCCCACGATCATTTCCTAGTCAATACAAACCTCAGATGAACATAAAAACAATCGTACAATCACAAAATCACTATTAAAAACAACAATGGTCACATAGGAGTTACAAAATTTTGAAAGTGCGATAATGGCGCTTTATTTGTATATTATCCCTTTTTTTTTGCGAGTTCAGAAGTGTCAAATATGATATTCATTTTTACTTTTTTATCTCTTTCATTTGTTATCTCTTCATTTGTTATATCTTTCATTTATTATCTTTTTCATTTGTGATCATAAATTGAACGTATGTGCGTCGTATCTGTTGCTCGAAGCAGATTATTAACAGCATTTACCCGAGTCTTATCAAAGAAAAAAACATTATGCATTACAACGCACTATGGGTATCCAATAATAGATAAATTGGCTTAAATATTAAAATCATGAAATGCCTGTGAAAATAATATCAGACATTCATATACTCTTGAATATTTAAGCCAAATACAAAGTTTATGAGATATTTTCCATGAATATATACGATTATATGGAATTAAAAGTAGTGTATTACGGTAACACGTAAGTTAAAGCTAGAATATCATATAAATTACTGTAAACAGAAGACCATTTTATAATTCAATTCAGAACTGAATGAACACAGAAACCCTATTTATTTTATTTAATATTAATTCGTGCCAAGAAAGAATATTTCACAAAACTCCTTAAAATTATTGAATTACGAATTTTAGAACAAATAAGGCGTATCAAGAGTTTACATTGTGTTACTAAACTCAAATAATTATTGACAATATATATAGGAACTTCTTAGGCATATTTAAATTTTTGTAAATTTATTAATACTTTTTTTCACCTAAAAGTAATGGACGACGAGAATGATAATGACATTTCATCATTATACGTAAACGTAAAAAGAGACAATAAAGTGTCTTTTTCTTACGAAGACGGTTATAATACATTTCAGAGAGGGGAACTTGGATTGTCATACAGTTATTTAGTTGGAAATTTAAATTATAATGGTGCAAATATGATATCATCAGTAGATTTTCATTTTAAAGGCATTGAACAAGCTCAGCATATAGAAATGGGAGAAAGAACAATAATCAACCAGAATAATACCCACGTATTAATAGAAAAGCATTCAAAAGTTAATTTTAAAGAACCTAAACAGATAAAAACTTATTATTTCAAGTTTCTATTACCTTCAAACTTGTCAAGTTCTTTTCATATTGCTGATAAGCATAATAATGTAATTGGTCAGATAATTTATACTTTACATGCGACGGTCCATACAACTGCTAAATTTCGAGGTCAAAGAGAATCTGTTGAAATAAAATGTCCATTGGAACAAATATTATTTCGCAACTACATAACTTATAAAACTGTAGAAGGTACGCATAATGATCTTAAAAGAAGAGAACCTTTATTCAGATATTCGTTTCAGATTCCAGAATATTTAAGCCTTGGAGAAACAGTTTCTGTTCCAATTAAAATCACATTTATTAATACCGGAGTTAAAATAGTAAGAATAGAAATTGCTTTGAAAAAAGTAACGGAAATTCGGTTTGAAAAAGATGGAACTTCGTTTAAAAATAAACTAAAGTGTTGCGCAGCACTTATTCAACCAGCACAAATCACAAATAATGAACTTTGTCAAAAGCTTTCTTTATCAACTCCACGTAATTTACATACAAGTCACTCTGGAATGTTCATAAATATTCAATATAGACTTTGTATAAATTTTTTGTTAACTGGCATAGAAAATACGGATAGTGATTTTTACAAGGAAAAACCTGTGATAGTAGCGAATATTAAAGAACAAGATGGCATTTCTAATTCTCAGAACTATCGCAATTCTGAAAGTGATCTATACGTTTCGCGGCCACATAGTACAGATCCAATTCAAGAGGGATACGATAATCCGAACGAATCAACGGTTCAAAACCCAAACGATGTTCAAGAACTTTCAAACCAGGGACATAGAAGATCGCTTTCAATATCTAGAACTTCTACCTCTTCTAATAGAGGAAATCAGTAATTTGTATATGAAATATTATCATTATTTTATTTATATTATAACATTTCATTTATTACCCATCATTTATTTAACTTGAATACGATATTTATAATACAACTATAAATTTTTCACACTAATGGACTATAATAATATCTTCACAATATCTTTACGCTTGGTATAGTTGAATAACCTTCATACTTTATTTTTAAATCGCATAATTTGTAATCTTTTCTTTATTTAGCCATCTTCGAATCATTTCGCATGAAATCATTACCTTTGTTATTTTCTAAAACTTTTACTATAATTATTCATTTTTTTCGTATTTAGTATTTTCTAGTAGAATTTCATTCTTAATCGCATACAACAATGTTATAAATAAATATGAAAAACTATATTTTATACTGTTGACAGTCCTAAAACCGGTGAGTGAAGGTAGCTTCGTATAACAGAAGTTTAGGTAAATCGGGTCGAAAAAGGCGTGTTAGATTTGGCAAGTGGTTAAATGAACGAATGTAGTTTTTAATTATATGCAATATTAACGACTTAGCGAATATAAGAATTTAGGGTGTATTATGTTATTCGTTTAGTAATAAGATACTTGTATAATTATATGATTGTGTTAATAAAGCAAAGGCGGGTTATCTTTCCCAGGGCTAGTAGACCTTTATTTAATAATAATTATTTTATATACAAAAATTGCCTATCCTACCATTATCGTCTATCCCTTAATCCGTATTCGGGGCAAATTTGCCCAGAATTTCAGATTCCCGGCAGATATCTCACGCTACCATTAAAATTTACTAAATGTACCCCATGTTTGTGGCACAATGCACACAAACATTACCGCAACACCTATATTGATGTATCTTTGCCGCCGCAAACAAAAAATAATAAGGTTCAATAAACTTCTAAAATGTTCTTTGAATGTAAAAGATCGACG